CCGGCATTCTGTCGATTATCTTTTCAGCCATCTCGTGATTCATCGTCTTGTCTGTCTTTCCCTCCATGAATGTCGCAAAGACGAAATCCGCATCTGAGTTATCCATCACCTGATTTCCCAACCTGCGCACAGTTTCGTTTTGAACGTTGTTGACGGATGCCATGTATATCTAAAGAATATCTTTCCCTCTGTTTGCGACCCCAACCGAGCAGCAGTTAGGCACATTTCGCGCTGCATGCGGATCGCGCAAGACCCCCTGTAGGGCGGGTTACCGACCTCCAAAACCCCGGGGAAGGCTGGCGTTTCTCGACTTGCGATCTTGACAATGCCGGCAATTCGCGCCCCCCCCCCTAACTGCTGCTGCTAGGATGGACCAAGCACAAAATATGCCTGCAGAGGAAGATATAGAAGATTTGTCCGACGAAGAGGACGTAGCGGAAAAAATAGACTGGCAAATGGCTGGCTCTACCCTGTTGGGTATTGCAGCTCTAGTAGTGGGCGGGCTTGCATGGCTGCAGCCAAAGGAGACTCCGAAGATATACTACGTACCTTCCCCAGAGCCTGCGAAGAAGTCTAGGATTCCGGAGATGGAATAGAGAGATGTACTATCTTATCCTTTCTTTTGCTAGCAGTAGTCTTTTCCCTGCCTATCTTGCAATACAATGGCGGGGCATTCTCCCGGTCTAATTTTTTCACTCTTGCTCCAAGAAGTGGCCCCAAACAGGGGTAGTAGTATGTTCGGCGGTGCAGCCCTCCAATACACACTCTGGACACTTCTCCGACAGGAATAGTATTGTCCTTTCCTTCTTCCGGTACGAAGTCTTTGCATATTGCCAGCATTGGTATTCGCCTTCCTGTATATGCAAGGCCTGCACGCACTCCTTGTTGGGAGGCGGCGGTACCTCCCGGAGCCTGTCTCGAGATTCCAAAGTATATAGTTTGGAACGCAACTTGTGGTATGTATCCAAGCCTGGTCCTTAAGGTACAAAGGCAGTGGCAACACCATTGGCCCACTCTACCAATCCTTCTTCCTGGGGTATGGCGGTGTGTATTTTGCAGTTGGCTTCGAACTTCCCAGCTTGGCAAGCCGGTAGAAGGGCTTCCATAGCCCACACCACACAGGTCTCCCCATCCCTTTGGAGCACTACGCGGTGTCCGCGGGCCGGCCAATCGGAGAAGACGTCTCTTGGTACTGCATAGCCAAGTATCTTGTATTCGCCTGGGGGTATCTCTTGCATTCTGTGCACCTTAGCCTTGGGCGTTGTCGATCCAAAGAACAGCTTCTGCAGATTGTTTGTTCGCCTGTACATTCTTGCTAAGACTTTCCTATGCTTTTCCAATTCCGCTTCCAGGGCTTTCCTGTCCTCTTCCTTCTTTTGCAGGATGGACTGCTTTCTTTCCAACAGCTCTGCGTGGTATCTCTTTGTAGCCTTTGTCCACTCGTCGCCTTCTAAGCCATCCGCTATTTCCTCCAACAGTAGCTGTCGTCGTCTTTTGGACAGGAAGGATATCCGACGGTCGCTGGGTACTTCCAGTATGCCAAAGGGGCTCTTTTCCACTCCTAGCCTTTGTGCTTTCTTGGTGCGCCAGACCCATTCTACGTGCTATGTGGTGGGCAGCATGTCTGCAATCGTAGGCGTATCTTTGTGCACGCGCGTAGGCATATTGGACTCTGCCAATATGGTAGGAGAGTCTTTCGTGTAGCACCGCGGAGGAGCTATCTCCACGGGTTCCATCCCAAGCACATCTATGCGAAAGATGGGACACCTACGAAGACCAAACTCTGCTATGGTCCAAAGTACACACTCCTCCCATTTCTCGTTCCCACGCACTCGTACGCCAGCTATGCGTCCAGTTGTCACATTGCAGTACCATTCCAAGAAGATCTCTTTCGTCTCCTCGCAGCAGATGCAAAGACACCTATCCAAGCACTTTGCAAGGGCAAGACACATGTTCTTGGGTGGCTGCACTACAAATATGTCCTGCAGGGGTGTTATGGTCTCTGCGATGGCATTGGTATTTTCCTTGCGGAATCTCTTGCCGTAGATGGATATTTCCACCCTTGTACAGCCCCTTGCTTGTACATCTGGGTGCAGGAATGTCTTCCTGAGGTGGTCGTTGGGGCAGTCTACGTACTCGGCTAGCTTTGCACCTACTGGTTTTTGGACCTCTCCGGCTTCGAAGCTGGACACTACCTTGTTGTATATCTTTGTCCGTTTGCCATCTTCCAGCCAGATGCACACATGGTTGCCCACGTCGTGTGTGTTTTCCAATATCGTACCCTTGCGTGCGTCTCCTACAGACTCCCGTAGACGACGTACCAGCGCCCGTCTGTCTAAGGTGCCAGAGAAGTCTTGGGTGTAGTCTAAGGAGTAGATCCCATATCCGTGGGCATGTAGCAGCGCTGCGAATTTGGGTATCTTCTCGTCTACCATTTCTATGGGCAGCTCCGAGGTATCTACTTTGGCTACAAAGAACCCAGCAGGCTCTACGCCATGTAGGCCATACCATTTGCCCTTGGCATTGTTCTTTTCCTCTATCTTTGCAATATTCTGTACTATCTTGCCAGTTCTGCAGGTATGTAGCATGCTGGTGGGTAAGAATCTACCAAAGGTCTCTGTGGCGGCTGTAGATATCTTGGCTACTATTGTCTTTGCATTTCTGCACAGCAGTTTCTTTCCATACAAATTGTCTTCTGCCACAAAACCATAGACAAATAAATCGTCCACAAAGGGTGGCAGCCCAGACAGCGGCCTTAGGCTGGTTGGCCCTTCGTTTCCTTCCAAATACTTGCAGTTGGATATGTCGGGCAATAGGTTTCCGTCGTAGGCGTTGTCCAGCAGCAAATGTGCTAGCACTCTGCTTTTCGCACGTACTCCCATCTCTTGCAATGTTGTCGAAATACTCTTCTGGGAATCCATTCTCTATGTATAAGGATAGAAGCTTTTGGACTACTATAGTGGTACTGCGGGGTTGTTGCGGGGGCACAAAAAAAGGTTGTCGAAAATGGTTGTCGAAACGATGGGATTCTATACACTCTACTAATACGCGTCAAGCATAAATCATAGCATCGTCTTATGGCATAAGATTTATGCTAATAAGGTGGTTAATTTCGCTCATCTTGTGGCATAAGATCCACTATCTTCTTGGAATCCATCCCAAGAGGGGGTGATTGGTGTCGATTTCGTGGAATAACTCGTAGATTACGTCAGGGTAATAAGGAATATCCTTATCCAGCCGACGGAACATCCACTCAGCCCTTCTCATAGTATCTTCAGAAACCTCGGGAATAGACTCACCGGTAATTTCAGACAAAAGATAGGGAATAGCCTTGTAATATTTTCCCAGCTTTAACTTCCTTAAAGTCCTTCTAAGGCTTGGCGGGGTTGGCTCCTTTAGATCAAATGCAATCATTTCCATTACTTCATTGTCTAAGTATACCGGGCGAAGACCTTGGATATGACTCATCCAATCCCTAAAATACTTTATTCTTTTGTATGGGGTCTTCTTACGACCTCCATTGGCGTAATATTGCTCTCTGGTAGCACTGGGCACGGCATTAGCAATGTTCTTACCACATTCATAACATTGCGCTGATGTGTCATCTTTTATTTGCATCTTCTTACCATAGCAAATATACTTATTTGGCTTGGTAGGCTTAAAGCGTGGTTTAAGACATTCCATACAACAGTCGTAGATAAATTCTTTACATTCATACATAGTATATAGACCAAATATTTTGGACTCTTTCCATTACCAAAAAACAGTCAGTATCGCTCGGTGAATACGTGAATCACTACTTTACACAGGTGATCCTGGGGTTGGAGGTGCGCTGATACCCCCAACCCCTATACTACTTAACAATCTTATTTAATAGAATTCTTAGGTCAGGTCACTTTCCTCAGAAGTGGCGTGTTGGCCTCATCATACCTATCCACAAAAAAGGCGATAAAACAAATATAGAAAATTATCGAGGTATTACATTACTATCAACACTAAGTAAATTATTTACCTCTGTACTAAATCAAAGATTGAATGATTTCTTAGAGAGGAATAATATTCTGAAAAAAGACCAGTTAGGCTTTCAGAAAAAACATTCAACTGTTGACGGAATATTCACATTAAAAGCTCTTATAGATCGTTTTGTAAAGAGCAAACCAAATAAGGGGACAAATATGCTTTTTTCTTGTTTCATAGATTTCAAGAAGGCATTTGATTGCATACCGAGACAGCTCCTTTTTTCTAAAGTGGAAAACGCTGGTATTAAATGCCGTTTTCTATCCTTGATAAAATCGATGTATGAGAATGACTGTTCAGTTATCAAAACAGACGGTATCATAACTGAGTCCTTTCAATGTTTTAAAGGAGTGAAACAAGGTTGTATGTTAAGTGACCTTCCAGACTTTCTTAAACAAACAAACATAAATGATCCGATCTGTTTCGATAATGCACTATTTTAGAACATGTTAAACTTTACAAATACCTCGGCCTCACATTTAGTGCTTTCGGAAATTTCACCATCGCAAAACAGGAACTCAAGAAATCTGCTCTGAAAGCCTTATTTAAGCTGAAAAAGGAGATGGGTCACTCTTTTCACTATGACCCTCATCTCACCATGAAACTTTTTGACACACTAGTAAAACCTATTCTGTTTTTCGGCAGTGAAGTCTGGGGTTCTGAGGTTTCTAAAAATGATCCTATAGAACTTGTTCATACCAAATTTTGCAAAATGTTACTCGGAGTGGGAAAATATGCAACCCATTCTGCCTGTTATGCAGAACTAGGTCGACTCCGTCTGCATGTAGCTGCAAACTTAAGATGCATAAGGTACTGGCTCAATCTAGTTACACATACATCGAGCCATAAAATTACATTCTTAGCATATAAAGAAATGATAAGCTCCAGCCGTAAAATTTGCTGGAGCCACAAAGGAAAAGAGTCATTATTAAAAAATGGGCTGGGTGATATATGGCTAGAAGTAAATTCCAATAACTCTCGCCAGCCAAACGTCTTTGTTACTATCAAAACGAGATTTGAAGACATAGAGAAACAAAACTGGCTCGGGGAGGTCTTTAATGATAAAAGAGACACCCCTGGCCAAAAGAACAAATTAAGAACGTATCGCTTCTTCAAAGTTAGTTATATGTTAGAAGGTTACCTAATAAATGTACAAAATTTCAATCACAGAAGAGCCTTAATAAGCTAAGAATAAGTAACCATGACCTAGAAATTGAAAGAGGCAGATACTCTAGTTACAAGAAGGTAGAGGAAAGGAAGTGCTTTCATTGTACTGATATAATAGAAGATGAAAGACACTTCCTAATTAAATGTCCTCTATACTCTAAACTTAGAGAAGAATTTCTTATGCAAAATAACATAAGTAACTCCCTTACGAAGGACCAATTGTTCCTAAAGTTGATAGATCCTCCCCATATTTTACAATCAGCTGCAGCAAAATACGTTTACAATTGTTTTGCTCTGCGTAGTGAAAAAAAGCAACAACAACAAAACAAATAAAAATAAATACTTGTATAATATTGCATAAAGATAATTAGGATTAGTAACGCATTTTATCGAAATAATTGTATGAACATTTATATATACAGAATATATATGTACGTATGACGTGTATGTGTAGAATATGTGAATATAGATATTATGCACATACATAAACATACGTATATATTTGTAACTTATTTGGATCTAAGTTGATGTGCAACTTTGTACAAAACGCCAAATAGAATATGTCTGTCTGTCTGTTCAAGGCAAATTGGCAAAATGTAGACCCTATCCAAGACTCAAGGGGAATTTGTATACGCTATGTAAGACAACTTACGGTAAATTGTATACCCTATTCAAGACGTGAAGGCAAAAAACCATACCCTATTTGGCGGAACGTCCTCGTATAGTAAATATAAGGAAGTCCCCCCCGCGGGTAGAGCCTAAGAAAATTACTTTAAAGTAATTATAAATGCTTTGAACATGATTCTTTGATATGTTTTAGAGAACGATGATGTTACTTTTGGTTGTTGTTTTTTTTTTCTTACAAATTGGTGTAAATTTGAATTTCTTCGTGTAATCCTGACCTTACGCTAGTTTCATTTCTGAAGAGTCATAGAAATGAAGAATTTTTAATAGTTTTGGCAGATTTTTGTTTTACGATCGAATTTTATATTTTTTAATTTGTTGAGAAACATATTAAAGATTTATTATGAAGGTAATCAACAGCATATACACTTATTTCAATAAAGCTAGTCACCTGAAAAGCTATAAAGCTGAGGCCTATAAGGATTATGGGTAGATTCATTTTACACGTTCAACCGCTTGATAACTGTTCATGGACTTGCGAATCTTTTACCGGTTACAGTCTCACCTATTCTGAGCATCATCGAGCTGCAGTTTGTATTAAAAAGCTTTGCATACATATGCTTTTTTGATATAAAAATTTTTCTCATGATGCTCTGTGATCAAAGCTTTCTAGGTTTTTGGTGACTAACTTTATTGAAACAAGTGTATTCAGTTCTAGAGAAATAAAGAAACCTGCCCGGCCAAATCAAATACCCTTTGATTCGTCATGTTAGTAACTTAATTCGATTTATACATTTCTAAAGTAAGTTTGATAAATTGTTGTCTTGAGTTTTCGCCATACATTTACACTAAAAATTTTTGGAAACATCGTTATGGCCCCTAGCTCGGTTCAGAAATGCTCTAACTCCAACTTTATGTCCAGAGCTGCATTATTGGTGGTTCTACATGATCATTAGGATTGTTTTTTGATTGACACCGAAAAATATTCTGGCACTAGCAAAATACACGTGGTTGCAAACGATCAATCAAAACCCATAGAATTGAATAATAACTGTTTTCACGCAGGCACAGCTGGTGACTCGCTGTCCCTTCATCGTGGTATGGCTTTCACCACCAAAGATTGTGACAATGATGCCAATAGTGGAAACTGTGCAGTGGACTACAAAGGTGCCTGGTGGTACCAGAGCTGTCACCACTCTAACCTGAACGGCCTGTATCACCACGGGAAAAACGCAGGTGCTGGAGTCGCCTGGTATCACTGGACTAGCTACACTGCTAAGAGAGCCGAGATGAAGATACGACCTGTATAAAATACTTCTTATCGTACCAGTTTAAATATCATCGAAACGTTAAGAACCAAAAATAAATTAAGATTAAAATTAAAAATAAATATACTATCAATTATAAAGAATGTAAGAGGTTATATTCCATTAGCATCACATCGAAGAAATAATAACTTTCTGTAAAAAATGTGTGCGGTAGAAGGCAAGATAGTCACGCATTGTTTATCAACAAAAATCTTGTAGAATTAAATAAGTAAAATAAAATACTGCAGTATGGAAAATGGCGTTGGATTGATTGAAATAGGGATTGCTAATCAGTTCCAAAGTTGTTTTCTACTTTCGTATCGTTTCACCTATGGATATGGTAGCATTACATTAAAATGGTAACACACAAAAAAATATATATGCACAATTGACAAACAAATTTGCAACAATTTGGGAGATAGTTTGTTGTTGTTATTTTGTATTTTTTTAGTTTTTCTTTTATAATTGTTTTTACACAATTTCACACTTTGTTAGCGAACCCATTTCTGTCAACTCTCAGGTATGCAAAATATACACTAAAATATAAAACACTAAAATATTTTGTTGTATATTAGTTTGAAAATGAAGCTAGCGGTATTTTGAAATACCGCAAACATTTATTTTTTAAAGCGCCTTAAAGGACGACGAAAATGAAACATAAGTTTGTTGATAAAGTAGACGTCAAAATGTTATCGTACGTTAGCCTAACACAGGCAACCCAGTAACTATTGCCACATATGTATATCTTCTACCGTCAGTTAGCTAGATCACAAAACAAGAGTCGTGCCTAACACACGCCCTGTATTACCCCTTGACTCAAATAAGGTTCCACCACGTTGATAATTTGGAAAACCTTTTTAATACTTAGTCTGTTTGAATTTTATTCAGCTGTTTACCGATTTGAACAGAAAAATCCTCGGTAATAACCAGCAGACCTTGATATTTGACTCCAAGCCATGTCGTTGAATGAAACAGATGTTGCAGTCGTTGAGAAGGCAGTTCAAGAAGCTCTCGAGCAGCTAGACAAACATGCCCCTGAAGAGTACGCCAAGCTGAAGTGCAGATCCCGAAAAGAAGAAAGCCGTTACTGAGCCAGCGAGGAATGCAGCGACTGAACACGTCAAACTGGCCAAAGAATTTGCTGATTAACCAGATGACATCGCTAAACGGCTTGCCAAGCATCTTTCAGGAAAAAGAATAATGATGCTCCAAAAGGGACTGGAATTCCCGACATTTGGAATGAATATCATCAAGAAGGATGACTGGTAACACTGGAGCTGACGAGAGAAGAGAAGCACTAGAGCCAGATTGAGCACTAATGGGTTCTGTTGACATCGATTGGGCAAAGCTTAAACAATATGCCAGCATCTTTGGGGAAGCCACAATGCTCATGATGTCAGAAGCAGTGATTTATTTCATAAAGCAAAAGCTCTTTTCTTTCTGATCAAGGACAGCTATGCAGCTGGCATTCTAAGGACTATCATTGCTGTGTTAGACCATCCTCTAATATTGAACAAGCTGCCGCTATCATGGCAATGCAAGACTGCATAGCAGACATCAGGAGATGGATGCAAGCGGATAGATTGAAACTGAATGATGACAAAACAGAATTCATCGTAATTGGAACAAGGCAACAATTGACAAACGTCGAGTCGCTTTGCGTCGGAGATGAAACCATTACACTATCTGATGAAGTAAAGAACCGTGGCTGTTGGTTCGACACGCGGCTGAAAATGGACTCGCACATTAATAACTGCTTCAGAGCAGCTTCCTTCCATTTATTTGATATCAGACGTATATCAGGAAATTCCTTAGCTGTGACACTGTGCAAACTCTAGTTAATGCTTTAGTTACTAGTCGACTAGACTATTGTAATAGTCTCCTTTATGGTCTACCGGCCAATCAGTTATGTAAACTTCAACGAGTACAGAATGCTGCGGCCCGACTTATCTGTAATATCAGTAGATTTGATCACATAACTCCTGCCTTGCACAAACTACATTGGCTACCCGTTAGGTACAGAATAGACTTTAAGACATTACTTATTACCTATAAGGCTATCCATGGACTATCACCTGAATATATCACTGAACTCATTAAGCCTAAGGCAGAATCAAGATACAATTTAAGATCATTCAAAGAACTATTGCTCGATAGACCAAGAATAAGACCTTTAACCACTCTGGGCGACCGCGCATTTGAAGTCGCTGCGCCTAAGCCGTGGAACGCCCTTCCAACAGAAATACACAATGCCAGTAGCACACAATCATTCAAGAAACTGCTTTTAAGCATTTTGCTGATAAACTTTTATATTTCGATAATATATATGTATATATATACACCCATGATCATTATTATTCATTGACCCCTTCAACAACTCCTGGCGGGCGTTATCCGGTGGGCAGAGCAATAAACACTACCTTATGGCCAGTTCGTTGCTTGCCCTCCTGGTTGCGCTGCTTTGCGGTTTATGCAACGGGTCCACATGGTATGTTTAGATCATAATTTCTATTTATAGGAAGTTATTTATTTTAATCAGTTTGTAATGCGCTTGTGAGCATCTCCCTATGTAATACGCGCAATATAAGTATTAAATTATTATTTATTATTACTGAACTTGTTTTTACGATAACCACATAAGCATGAGCATAATAAGATTCAAAATAAGATATTCATAGTAAATGTAAATAAATTTAATATTATAAAATGTTCTTGTAAGATTGGGACATAATATATATTCCTTTCATTTGTCAGTTAATCCATCCATCTATGCATCCATCTATTCATTCAATCCGTTCGTCCATCCCTCCATCCGTCTATTAATCCATCCATCCCTTGATCTATCCATTCGTCTGTCCGTCCGTCCTTTCATTCATTCATTCATCCATCTATTTATTGGTTCTTTCTTTCTTTCTTTCTTTCTTTGAAAAAGATCCATTGACAGACGGCTCGACTGCATAATCTACCGACGAGAAAGACAGTAATAAGTCATTTTGGAAAGTTTTTTGAAAATCTTCGAAGGCTTGTTGATGACAAAATGAAAAATTTTTCAGAATTCCATAAACAATAGCAATGACAAAGAAGCTACATCTCAAAAGGACAAAGAGTTAAAAGCCAAAATTCAATCACTAGTCACTAGAGAGTGCTAACGCGGCTCTAAAAAGCTCTAATAACGATAAAATTGAGATCCAAAATTACATTGAAATAATGAAGAACAAAAGCGTCATGACGGTAATTCCCACTGATCAAACAGCCTTCCACAGTTCAGCAGAGGAAGACATTGATAACGAACTGCAAATAATTGAACCTAGTGCAAAAACTTTTCAACCAAACAAGGCAAAACCTCTCCATTCAAAGATAACCAACACTGGTGCAAAAGACGACAAAAATCCTCAAGACGAGGAAGGTACGAATAATAACCTGAATATCAAAAAGAAATCCATTATCATCCTTGGCGACTTAATGATTAAAAACATTCAAGGCTGGAAGATGTCCAAGATATACAAAGTTACCACGAAATCTTTTGCTGATGAAACAACTGACGACATGGCCCACTACATTATACCTTCGATATAGAAGAAACCTGACAAAGTTAGTCTGCACATTGGCACCAACGATGTTAAAGCCAAAGAACCTGACAACGTTGCTGAGGTGATAATCAAAATGGCATCTAATATTCAGAAAGATTCTTCAAAAACACAGGTAACATTATCTAGTATTATCTATAGAAATGATGCGGAATTACATCCAAGGATCGATAAAGTCAACAAAAGTGAACAGGCTGCCCGAAAAAATGAATGAACTTCATTGACCACAGTAATATTACCGTAGACTGTTTGAATGAGGGAGGTTTACATTTAAACCGAAAGGGGGATGGTATTTTMATAACTAATTTCATTTCGCTTCTAATCAGTGAATCTGTCAGAGAGATACATGTCATTTAGATAGCCATCACCAACCCAGCCGCACAACGGTTGTTTACCATTAGATTGGAAATTCCGGTAATTCCGGTTTTTCTGTAAATGGTACAACCTTCTCCCATCGGAAAATTTCTGGTAAAAGTGGAAATGCTCAATAGGTACCCCGTTTGTTCCAGTGAGCCCAGAATAACCGGATATGCGCGTACCATTTACGCTTTTTCACACGTGCATGCATGCATGCACTTTTTAAAAATCTTTATTTCTATTATGGTCACGTCTGAAGAGCGTTAAGAATTCACCGAARATATGTATATCGTCATCATCGCAAAGTATTTCGGAATCAATATCGACACCAAAGCYTCGTCCAACAATACCAAAGTGTTGACATTTGCCGCCATTTTGTACTTATTTTTATTTGACTGCCTTAAAACCCTTCAAYGCACATTAAATTAAAGGAGAGTATTCGTAAAACTTACAACTTTTAGTGACTTCATTTAGAAAAAAATYGTTCKATGATTTTTTTGAATGCCGCTTTCATAGATACTTTCTATCGCTTTTGACAACRAATGGGGTCATTTGGCTTCATATCAAAAAATCCATAACGTTAGAAAGAAAGTCACAGTTTGACTCATACTCAATAAGGACAGTGTCTATATCCGTTTCAATGCGGCTAGGTGTGCCAGACCAAAACTACCCAGAGCCTCCTTAATGGCGGACTCAAACGGCCAAACTTTACCGGCTAAATACAACATCTTCCCAGTCTCGTATCGAAAAAGAATTTGGACAGTAAGGTATATTACATACCTGGTTTTATATGGTACAATTTCCAGGGATGGTGTCATTTTAGTAAGACTAGCACTTTAGCTTTTTAATTGTAAATTGCAAGTTTATTATTTATAGTTATTATTATTCATATTATAGTTCTTTTCTATGTATATATTGTTATGTGCACGACTTTCATGTAAACCAGTTGTATCAACTGATGAAATCTCTTGGATAAATAAAGCTCATCCATTCGTTCTTTCTTCTGATGATGAGACGTGCAGCTCGCAGCTACCGAGTTAGCATGCTTATGAAAATGGC